ACAAAATCACAGATTTAGACTTTCTTAGAAATAAAATTAATTAACCAATCCTGCATAGTGGGGGCTTTCCATCATTATTCTTCTTCATGGTCTGTTTCCTTTGAACTGCCAAATTGTTTCCAAATAACAAGTTGCCACTGTGTAGTGAAGAGCATTTTTACAGTATTTGCTTAGAGTTACAGGTGAGCTGGTGTGCTTGAGCTACAGCAGGGTGGGTGAAAAAAGAGGCTTTCTAGACAATGGTGATGAATGGGATGTGATTATTTTAGTGGGAAAACGTGCAACTTTGGTGCACATGGATGAGTTTTATGGGTTTAATCAATAAGGATCACCAAAGTAATTAAATTTTATCTGAAGGGCAACACAAATTTGTGTGCAAAATGTATTAGCAGTCTAACAGTTTTGGAAACCTTTCACTGAAACCACAAATGTGAACCTCTGACGATCACTGATGTATGGAAGGTTTATCCTCTGGGTACCATCAAAGACTGCACCGAATATTCTAGGTTTTCCATCCAATAGTTGCTGACTGACATTGCTATCCTTAGACCAATACCACAGATGTCACAGCCACACACACATGGCTAAGAAGCCCGAGCTAACCTAATAATATCCTGTCACACTGATATAATGGCCCTGATAAGACCTGACTAGTAAAGGTATTACTGTACACGACAGTTACACGGTTTTGCTGCCTGCATTAGCATTTATATGGCTTCACCAAATAAAGCAAAGCCAAGTAAAGTCGTATTATTTTATGATCTCAGTATTATTTTGGCATCACTCCAGGCCAAATTAATTCATCCCAACCTCTCCTGCACCGTGCACGCACACTCCAAGAGTTGAAAATACTCCTGACGACTTGTCAAGTGCTTGAGGCAAGGTAAATAGAATATTCTGCTGTATGAACATTATATCGCTGGGTAACGGTACACTTCAAAGCAAACGGTGCCCCCCCTTTCTCGGCGTTCTGATTAGTCAGTTTGTCTTCTGCTTTATCAGCCATCTTGTCAGTCAGCCCTTCCCTCCTAATGACTCCTGTCAGTCAGGGATGTAACTGTCAACTCGCGTCAATGGCTGCGCTTCCTCCTCCCATGATTGGATAATGAGCTGTGCACATCAACACATTTGGCCATTTTCAGCACAAACGTGGGCAGAGGAAGGAGCTCAGACAATACGTGTCTCGTCGTTGCTACGCGCGCAAATTTCTATGAATTTCTATAAAGAGACTTGTGCAAAACTTGAGTTAGCTGTTGAAGCAGAGGAGCAGGGTTGACCAGAGGACAGCGAGAGAGAAACAGCAGCAGCCTTCTTTTGCATAAAGGAGGAGGAGAGCGGAGTGAGATGGAGGGGGGGTGCAGAGGAAGGTGAAGATGTCTTCAGATGTGGCAGTTGTGATGAAAAGAGAGGCGAACGACTGAAGACAAGAGGTGGAGAAGAGAGGAAGAGGAGAGAGGTAGTGGAGCAGTGTGCATTATTCATCCCTGCTGACACATCAGAATCTCTGATTCATCTGGAGAAGGGCATCAGTCAAGTCACAACCTATCTCTTAGCCTTCACTCATAAGCACACACAAACACAGGACCGACACGCATACACACATAATTGCAAATGACCTCGTGGTTGAAAAAGGATAATTATGGGGCTGGCTCACTAGAGAGATCCCCAACAACAAAAACAACACAAAGAAATGTCTTTGTGCTACCAGGCTGCAGCACAGATCCCACCAGGTATAATGGATTCCCTAAATTTCTTTATATGCACATACATTTCTTCTCTACATATTATCCATGCAATTAATATAAATAATGCACAGCTAAGGAGGAGATCGGTAATAAGATCCTGCAATACTGGACAAAAACTCGTCAAAACAGGCAGAATTATAACAGGCAGAATTGTACCTCCTACCGTTTGTTTATTCATTTATTTACAGCAAGTTGCACTTTCTCTGAATGAAAAGACTTTTCCGCTGATTGCAAACATAATGGCACTAATATATTTAAATTAATTGAATAACAGTTGAATTGAATCATTTAAATTTGCATGGAGATAATATGATCACACAGCATCACATTTTACTAAATTCTACATGATCAAATTCAAATGAGCTGCAAGTTTACATGCAAATGTTCGTCTAGCACGATAAACGCTGCTCGGTGTACACATATGTTACCCGCTGCATCATGATATGTGGTGATTAATTCCACACAGAGTAACACTGTGTCACCCAGTATGTGATTGCATTTAATGGACTCTGTGTGTGTGTGTGTGTGTTACCGTGTGACTAGTCGATGTGTGTTCTCATATCAGCAATGTGATGGCCAGTCAATATGGTTTAAATCAATACCATAAGAGTATCTTTTAAAAATCAGTGTACATCATTAGGAAACTAATGCATGGACAGTCTCACAGAATACAATCCAATGGATGTTAAGTGCCATGAAACGTCTCCCCATTACAAAACTTAACTACCTCGTTTTAACATTTATGTATAAGATTTGCTCAATTACTCTTTTGACCGCCATCATTTTGCAAAACACTCGGGTGCTATGATCAGACGTCACAATGCTGATTTATTGCCACGCTATATTAAAGATAATATGGCTAACAAAGGTTAAGAAATATGAAAAATATGTTTCTGAAGCCATATTGGTCTCCCTTAGATATCCTCCTTTTTAACCTATTAAATATCTACTTTTCTTAGGGTTTTAAGCCTTCATTTTTTGGGGGGAAGAATCAATAAAAATGACAGGAAATCAGCTTGTACAGTCAACTTTGATTCAGAGTTAAGTTGGTGTATCATCAAACATATATCTTAATTTAGAAAATCTTTTGTTCTAATCATTTTAGTGTCCGGCCTCTGCTGCCTTCATTCTGCATTCTGTATATACATTGTTTTCAGCAGCCTCTGAATATAAAAGAAGGGAAGCCGAGCAGACAAAAGCTCGCCGTTTGGAAGGCTTTGAAAAGGTCAATTAATATCAATGCCTCGACAACAACAAAGTTTCTGTCTGCTTGTAATACAGGTGGCTACGCTCGCAGCATCAAAGTTGCATGCCTTGATGTGCTCCTGCCTTCTAGCTGACTGGTGCAAAGCGAAGCTAATGGAGAGTGGAGAAGGGAGAATTCTGACAAAATTCAGTCATGGGCATAACATGTAACACGAGGGAAGAAAGAACAGAGCGGAGCAGTTAGGGTAGCGCCGCTGCGAGAATCTGGGAATAAGACTTCAATGAGGCCTTTGACGTGAAACCAAAGCTGCTCTTCTGGGAGCACACGTCATCTGGCATATTCAAGTCTGGATGGATCTTACAGTGGTATCTGTTTGGAGGAAGCGGAAAACCATTGAGGCCTACGGTTGAACCCTGTGAAAAGCTATTTAAAGAGTACATGCCATCACTGCTTTCATAAGCTACCGCTCCTAACAGTGCCTGCATGAATACCTGTGGGGCCACGCATCTCTTGACTCTTGGAAGGGAATATTTGATCTGTTTCCAACTGACAGACAGAAGAAATTTGCCCGCATAATTATTCTGCTTCCACATAATGACTTTTCCCTGTCATGAAAACGCAAATATCTAGATCCCAGACCCCCTGATGAAGGTGGAGTACCTTGTGTGTTCTGTTAGACAGAGAGTGGAGCTGAAAAGACAGGAAAAAAAAAAAAAAAAGAAAATCAGGGGATCTACTAAAGAGAGGAATCCATGCGTAAAAATGACTGATTAAAATAATTAGGGATGTGGAAATGGTCTGGAACAATAACCAGCAAACGCACAGTGCCCCAGGGAAAATTTCCCATCTGTGTTTGAGGAGGAAGACCTCCCTCGGATTCACCACGACAGTGCGATTTTCCAGTTTACGGAGGCCACACAGAGAAAATAAAGAAGAAGAAGAAGAAAAAAAAACTTAAACAGGCATTTGGAGTTTACATGATTAAATTCCAAACAAGCAATAGCCCTCGGAAAATGTGTCAGGATGAATCGATGTATCATTAAATTACCCTGTGCCTGTGCGCGTGAGTGGCTCTGTTAACAGCAAATCCTTCTGCGTATAATTATAGACATATGAGAGGTCTATGGACTAAAAAAGCTCTCCCTATATGTGCAGATGGGCTTGTTTTAAGTAATGCTTGAGAGCAGCAGATGCAGCAGCCACTCTATTGTCTAGAAAACAGTGTTGCTAAATTAGTCCATCCGCTTTGCCACCTGGTGCTTTCAATGGCAAAAAAAAAATAAATTAAAAAAATCTTTCTGGTATCAGTGAAATAGCCCATATGGATGCATGATGTGTGTGTGATAGCATCCTCCAAAGTGTTGGGAATGACATTATCATAATGACATTTTTATTTGGTTTTGGCATCAGTGAAATATACAGTACAGTGGTAGAATGAGTTTCCTGACTCCTCTTTTTGAAATAGGATGCATTTATGTTTTGTTTGTTGTTTTTTTCATCAGGAATATGTATATGATTTTTTTTTTCTTTTTGAGACTTCAAAAAAAATCTAACTCAACATTAGACTCATTAAAGCTGCAAAGTGCATTCAAGAGGCCATTTAAAAAGCACTTTAAATGTAAAGGTGGATGAGGAACAAAGGCTTTGCCAGTCTGCCCGGGTCCCTCACGCTGCCCAGCCAACAATAAGGAGGGGGTGAAGGGAGACGCGCACTCACAGCGCTGTTGCCAACCAGCCTGATCTGCACAAGCCCGCGGTGAGCTGCTTCTTTATTTTGATTTTCATTTTATTTCATTTTATTTATTTTTAACAAAGTCTCAAGTGATGCCGCGATGAGAGAGAGACACAACGCAAAGAAGGAAACCATAACCCCCCCTGAGACAGACACAACGATGAAATTTCAAACCCTTGGATCTTGTTTAGTTTCCAAACGGGGGGCTCCGTTCCGACTAAAGTGCACAAATTGAAGCACTGTGGGTGGGGTGCAAAGTGTGAGAGAATGCAGGACGGTGCTGCTGCTGCTGATGGTGGTGGTGGTGGTGGTTTACCTTGGTAGGAAGTGCTCCGTCTTCTTTACTGTCTGGCAGATTCATGTGGGTGGATTTGCAGCTGGAAGCTTCCTTGGAAACAGCGAGGATGAATGTAATCCAGTGGAGGCAGCAGCACTCGGAGAAAGGTCTGCCTTTGTGCAGGAGGATGCATGCACACACATCGCCGGCAGTTTCAACTCCCCACCACCCACCCCCCCTTAAAAAAAAAAAAACCAAGACCGCTGTCCGAAGGCTGTGTCGACCGACCGACCTCTCGGGAGCGCAGCGGATATCGCAGGCTGCTGCTCAGCCCTTTTGTCGGGAGAGCATTGCTAGTCGGGCGGCCTCAGATACTGCTGGTTGATGTCATTGATACTCCCCTGCCTTCTTCCTTAATGCCCTCCTCCTTTCCCTGCCTCTCCTCTCCTCTCTCCTCTCCTCCCCCTCCACTCTCTCTCTCTCTCTCTCCACTCTCTCTCTCTCAGGCGCACACCGGAGCTCTCCCCCTCCCCCCTACACATGACGTGATGCAGGCAAGATCTCCAATAGCAACCGTATCCCCCATCACCCCTATTACCCCCATTACCTCCCCCCTTCTCTCTCTCTCTCCTCTCAACATCCAACCCCACACATCCTCATCCCAGCCTCTTTTGCTGGATCGCTGACTGGTGCAAAAGAGGTGGCTGCTGAGGCAGGTCGCTCCTGTGCACCGGTGACTGACTTTTCTTTTTTTTTTTTTTTCCCAAACGTGTTCCCCGAGGGCTAAAATGAAGATAAGCACCTTGAAACCCCGTAGATTCCCATAATATAGTGTCTAATTATAGCTGTTGGCAGGAACACAGAGTCAGAGTCCCATATCAGCTCCCACAGAGCAGAACTCCCACGCTAAATTATAGCCGGACACTCTAAATTGTAGGAAAATACAACTCGTGGTGGGACATTATGAGAATATATTAATAATGCCACAGGAGGTAAATAATGCAATCACATCAGGAGGACAATGGATGATAATAACTTGGCTGTTTATGGTGCTGGAGGCAGTGTTCAGTTTATAAGGCAAGTCTAGTTGAAACTAATGCAGTCTAACAGCTCTGCAGTAAATCCTACCTTCATGAAGGTTATAAATGTTAATTTTGTGAAGTCTGTTGACTCAACTTTATGGTTATTTTAAATGTAGTTTATAGTACTGTTATGTTATATATTATAAGAGGTGTTTTAATATTTCATACAATCCATTTATATCCGCGAATTTACGTCAACGTCAATTCATTTTTATTATTATTATTATTTTTAGGTTTTCTTGTACTTTAAATAGAATCACAATGACAAAAACTCTGAGTGGCATAAAGAAGATATGGAATAGATTGCTTTGTCACGTCATACCTGGGCAAACCCTCAAATAAAATGATCGCACAAGTTGAATAAATCAGCATATTTTCAGCAGCAAGAAAGAAAGAAAGCATCCCGATGGATGTCTGCAGTCTGATGTCTAACAAAGGATGACTGGACTGTGATTTCCGATAAAATATACCCAAATCTTACCTAATCATATAAAGAGTTTAAAGAATATTGGAAAAAATTTTAACCATATATGTGTATACTTCAAACCATTTTCACATCGTATGTCGATAAAATCTTGCCCACGTTAAAGCAGCATTTTGCCTGAAAATATGAATAAAAATGAGAACATTTTAGATGTTAACAAAACCCTATGCTTGTCAATTTAAATGAGTCCATATAGACTAACACAGCTCTTTGTTTTTCGAGATTTGGTCCTATTTAGGTCACACAACATGACAAAAACAACCGCCACAAGGGCAAATTGTGAAGTGTTGGAGTGTGGTGTTGGAGGTTGGCATGACACCTCAGGACAACATGAAGGAGGCTGTACTCGAGCTTTTCTGCTGACCCCCATCTAACATCCTGCAAACACACTCAGCATCGACAACTGTGGCCTCACAACATTTCCTTTCATCCAGATGCATTACAAATGTATATTTTGCCTCTTGGTAAAAAAGCCATTCTCAGTAACTCATTCTCCCTTCTTTAGTGACACAAAGAATGCTTGTTATTGTGAATAAATGATGTGAAAATTAACCAACTGCCCCCTTTTCTGATAACAACTGAAAGCTACAATTTCTGAGCATTTCACATGGTCTTAAAAGGACAAAGGTTTCCGGTCCGATTGATTTCCTTTGTTGCTAGTGACATCTAGTGGGAAGTCACGATTATTTGATGTTGCATTTACTGGAGGTTGAAATTGTGAACACAAAAGGTTCATGAATCCACAAAACATGCACCACTTTTTCTATGGACAAAAAAAAAAAAAGTCCTAAAACATATTTTGGCCTTAATGAAATCAAGGATACTTTCTGTAGAAAAAGAGTTGTGATACAGTTCTCACTTTCCACCTAAATGTAACACATAAGACATGTTCTCTTTAATGTATCCCTACATTAACAGTTGTAGTGTTCTTTTATATCCGTATATAAAAAGTGAACTACTTCCAATGACACATAGTATGATTAATAACCATGATTACCTTCCACAGAGAGGTCAGAGGTCAGATCTGCCATAGGAGACCCCCTCGATTAGGTCAGCATCTCTTTATATACAGTCTGAGGTCAGCATTCAGTTTCTGGTTTAATGACATTTAAGCACGGTGGATGCATGTCGTCACATGAACTGGAACCACCATTTACCAGCTGGAGTTAACTCTGCCAACATGACACCTGTCACATTCACAGTGACAATAGCAGATTAGCAAATAATAAAGATTTGAAGTTAAGCGTTCCATTAATATAATATTGTGTCTGTTTCCTGTCAGAATAAAGCCGTCTCTGTTGTCTGTGTGCTGTCTCTGCCAGTCACCCTGTGACCTGCCTGACTGTATAGCATTACAGTATTCCCATTTTCAGAGTTGAAGCTAGGGCAAAAGATCCCTAAAATTAGCAGGGTAAGTGCCCTGTCTCTACCACTGCCCTGCAGCAGTGACGTTAATTGCACTCTATTTATACTTTAAGAGTGCAGGACTCAGAAAGATCAAGTTTCTGTTATGCTTTATTTTAGTGTCCTCAAGTTTATATGAGTAGTTGAAAGCCTGTGTTTGCTATAAAGAGCTGAAATAAGTGGTCACTGATGATTTTTTAATAATGTGCACTCCAAAATAATGCGTGTTTCGCCATCTAAATAGGATAATTTCATGCACCTGGCAGTCGTGATGAAATGGTAAGAGTTTTATGTCCTGCAATTTCAACCAATTCAACCCAATTTAAATATGTGTAATGATGCTGTTAATGCTGCCGTTGCAAATAACAGCACTCAAACTCAAGAACTGCAATAAATCAGAGCACAGAAAGAAAGATTACTTTTCAGTTTTAGAGCTTAGTTTCCAATCAGTACCAATGCCAAATAAAATTTCGCAGATGCAGAAAACACACATGAAAGCTGAGATCACCCACACACGAGCACAAACTTTCTGTTGTGATACTGAATTTTATTCAGGTATCTCCAACACACTTTTGTTCTTGAGTTATCATCAGTTAAATGAATCAGTTGAGAGAGAGAGAAAGGCAGCGACAGTTCAGAGCCTGAATGTAAGGTGTCTAGGATTTGTAGAGCCTCTCGGTGTGCATTCAACTTGGTGGTGCTTCGCACAGACAAATAAAACATTCATGATAAAACAAGATAAGTAAAAGAGAGACTATTAAATATAAGACTAAGATGCAGGGATGGCCGGAGAGCCATCTGTTCCATTTCTGTGAGCTGCATCTGAGGTTAAAAGGAAAATTCACTCCAAAACAGAACTGACACATGATCTTGGACAGTTAATTTGTGACTCTTTCATGGAAACAAACAGCAGCACCATGGCTCTGTTGTCGACCCCTCCAACCCTCTGAAGCTGCCTCTTTGACATTGAATTGAATATCTTAGCTGTTGTTGTCATTAGACGACAGATGCAGGCACACTTTGGGCTCAAGTTTGAAATTGTTCATTCAGATATTGGAAGAAATTGAAGAAGACATTCTTAGTTCATAAATTCAGAAGATACCAATGTACTGTCAACAAAGCCGCTCCAGTCCTGTTATCATGTTACGGTAAGCAACTGCAGAATAACACCTTGTAAAATCTGTTTATGCAGTAAATTTTTTGCTTAAAAAAGGTTGCCTCTGATTGGAATATTATAATCTGCATAGGTTATAGAACATCTGTGTGGAGGCAGGGGAGTGTTAGCCAAACAATGTTACCTGCCTGTTGTACTTAAAAAAGGGACACCACTCCTCCTAGGTCTCGTATACGTCTTTCAAGTATTGGCTCTGCAGGCTGACGAATAATGTTCAAGTCTGAAACATTAAGCAACTTGACTCACTGAACTTCTGGAACTGGGAGTTTCATGTCCCCACTTTGTGTTATTACTTCTGCTTATAATTAAGAAGTTAATTGCTTTTCATTTTGCCACCAGTTACAGCCTATAACAGAACATTTGGCACAGTAATTTCAACACCTTCCCAGCATCAAAGAAACCTAGCAGATGGTATACGTGAACAAATTGAACCAGGCAAAAAAAATGCCAGCAAGCGGCTGAGTTTGCTCAAATGCTTCCTTGCTGAATGAAATTGCAAAACAACATGTGAGCTACCATATTCACACTTCATTTCCATGCATGTTATCTGGCTACTTTGATCAGATGCTTCATATCGAATAATACTAAAACCCATCTCTTGGACACTTCAGCCACCAGCAAACCCACACAAGCACCATCATACTGTAACTCTCCCTCTTAATGGGAGAAACCTAGGGGAAATGCATTAAAGCCTCAATGAATTTGGAGTTTTACCCAGCATTAAATAACAGTAGAAACCAACAATCACTTTAAAAGTCTGTGAGACTTAGTGTTAGAGTAAAGTGATAACTGACCAGATCTCAGCCAGAGACTTAAACCCAGAGGCTGGATTTCTATTGCTATGGTTTGGTCTGACACAAGGCTGGGACAGCCAGGAGTGGCGCAGAAGTCCAAAGGGGGACAAAGATAAGGAGAACGGGCAGGAGAAAACGTTTGTGGCAGGTCATAGTAAAGATTGGGGGAGAACTGGAAGAGTAGTGCTGGGGTGCCTCTTCATGGGGGACAGCAGAGGAAGTCAGTGCAGTTCAATGAAAGCCTCCATCTCCTCAGAGATCAGTCCCCTGTAGGGCAGTCTGTGCTTTTCAATCGCACGTGCTGCCAGGCACTGAAGGGTGACGTAGTTCAGCGGGTAGAGGGCCGGATGTCCGCTGCTGTGCTCATCCAACAGCTCGTACGCCGTCTTCCTCTGTGCATTTGTAGCATCAAAGTGAGCCCCTGCCTTCATAAG